GAATGTAAAACAAAAATCACGGTTAGAGAGAAAAAAAAAAAACACACACACAAAAAGTCCTGTGGAAATTGATGTAAAATGTTTTGTTCGGGAAAACTGCAGCACGCGGTATGATCCAGGTAAAACCCGGGGTGATATGATTGGTCTGATACCCCTTCACATCAGAAGTTCCCCCTTGCATGCCTGGGGCCCCCTTCACATCAGAAGTTCCCCCTTGCATGCCTGGGGCCCCCTTCACATCAGAAGTTCCCCCTTGCATGCCTGGGGCCCCCTTCACATCAGAAGTTCCCCCTTGCATGCCTGGGGCCCCCTTCACATCAGAAGTTCCCCCTTGCATGCCTGGGGCCCCCTTCACATCAGAAGTTCCCCCTTGCATGCCTGGGGCCCCCTTCACATCAGAAGTTCCCCCTTGCATGCCTGGGGCCCCCTTCACATCAGAAGTTCCCCCTTGCATGCCTGGGGCCCCCTTCACATCAGAAGTTCCCCCTTGCATGCCTGGGGCCCCCTTCACATCAGAAGTTCCCCCTTGCATGCCTGGGGCCCCCTTCACATCAGAAGTTCCCCCTTGCATGCCTGGGGCCCCCTTCACATCAGAAGTTCCCCCTTGCATGCCTGGGGCCCCCTTCACATCAGAAGTTCCCCCTTGCATGCCTGGGGCCCCCTTCACATCAGAAGTTCCCCCTTGCATGCCTGGGGCCCCCTTCACATCAGAAGTTCCCCCTTGCATGCCTGGGGCCCCCTTCACATCAGAAGTTCCCCCTTGCATGCCTGGGGCCCCCTTCACATCAGAAGTTCCCCCTTGCATGCCTGGGGCCCCCTTCACATCAGAAGTTCCCCCTTGCATGCCTGGGGCCCCCTTCACATCAGAAGTTCCCCCTTGCATGCCTGGGGCCCCCTTCACATCAGAAGTTCCCCCTTGCATGCCTGGGGCCCCCTTCACATCAGAAGTTCCCCCTTGCATGCCTGGGGCCCCCTTCACATCAGAAGTTCCCCCTTGCATGCCTGGGGCCCCCTTCACATCAGAAGTTCCCCCTTGCATGCCTGGGGCCCCCTTCACATCAGAAGTTCCCCCTTGCATGCCTGGGGCCCCCTTCACATCAGAAGTTCCCCCTTGCATGCCTGGGGCCCCCTTCACATCAGAAGTTCCCCCTTGCATGCCTGGGGCCCCCTTCACATCAGAAGTTCCCCCTTGCATGCCTGGGGCCCCCTTCACATCAGAAGTTCCCCCTTGCATGCCTGGGGCCCCCTTCACATCAGAAGTTCCCCCTTGCATGCCTGGGGCCCCCTTCACATCAGAAGTTCCCCCTTGCATGCCTGGGGCCCCCTTCACATCAGAAGTTCCCCCTTGCATGCCTGGGGCCCCCTTCACATCAGAAGTTCCCCCTTGCATGCCTGGGGCCCCCTTCACATCAGAAGTTCCCCCTTGCATGCCTGGGGCCCCCTTCACATCAGAAGTTCCCCCTTGCATGCCTGGGGCCCCCTTCACATCAGAAGTTCCCCCTTGCATGCCTGGGGCCCCCTTCACATCAGAAGTTCCCCCTTGCATGCCTGGGGCCCCCTTCACATCAGAAGTTCCCCCTTGCATGCCTGGGGCCCCCTTCACATCAGAAGTTCCCCCTTGCATGCCAAGAGGAGGGTGTATGGAGGGGTGGGAGGGGTTAGTACATCCAAGACTGGTACTGGGGCTACAGGAAGGTACCCTTACCCCTCGCTCATCCTGCTGTCGCTTAAAGCAGCATCTCTCAACTTTTTTTTGTTAGTCAGGGCACCCCTTAAAAGTATGCAAAATCTTGAGGCACCCCAGTCTAAAATGCCTTATTTTTTGGGGGGACCCCATGCAAAACCACCCAAAAAAGTGACCCCCTTGCATGCCTGGGGCCCCCTTCACATCAGTCTTCATTTCCCCTTCACAGCAGGAGACATACCAGTGGTTGAGAGGCTGCCTTAAAGGATAAGTGTACTTTATAACATTTACCCCTTTTTTGCACACTTCCTTCTCCTGACCTGACTTACCTCCCCTTCTCCTTCCACAAATGCATAATTACCTCCAGCCAACGGCCTCCAAATCCCATTTATATGGTGGAGGAAATCCACCCCCAGCTGTGCTCCTGGCTGCTGCGTCTGGAACCGCTGCAGGCCTCCTAGACCTGAGCCTCTCAGTCATTTCTCTGCCCCCCCTCGCTTGCAGAGCCTGGGCCCACGTGTTTTTTGTGAACAGTCAGGGGGAGAGGTGACTGTAGCTCTGTACCTTGTGATCAATGTGAACCAGTCACACTGGCTGGATTTACACACCGTCAGCCCTCCCCTTCCTCTCAATGGTGGGGGATCAGTACAGTGACTTGTGTGCGGTCTCGTCCAGGTTCACGTGTATTTGTTTGTTTTTAACTTGGAAGGTGCAATGATCAGAAGCTTGAAGGTGATGTCCTAGTGCTTGCTGAGACATTATCTCTTGTCAGATACATCTTGTGATTTGAAGTCTATGTGGGCTAGGGCACAAGACTGCAAAGTATACCCCCCCTACTGGCTGTTGTAGTTCATGGTCGGTTTGGTCACAGGATGTTAACAATACAGAAACAATCCTCGTTTTACATACCTGTGATCATGCATATGACCCCCTACCTTGCCCATTGAGCGTGTAAACGCCCTCCTGCCTTTTGGGTACAGTTTTGCAAGATCGAGTAATTGTCAGCCAACTATTGCAGCCCGGCCCAGGCCTGGTAATGAAGGGGTATATACACTGAGTGGCCGGATTATTATATACACTGAGTGGCCGGATTATTATGACCCCCGCCACAATATAATAATCCGCCCACTCGGTGTATATAATAATCCGCCCACTCGGTGTATATAATAATCCGCCCACTCGGTGTATATAATAATCCGCCCACTCGGTGTATATAATAATCCGCCCACTCGGTGTATATAATAATCCGCCCACTCGGTGTATATAATAATCCGCCCACTCGGTGTGTATATAATAATCCGCCCACTCGGTGTGTATATAATAATCCGCCCACTCGGTGTGTATATAATAATCCGCCCACTCGGTGTATACTTGGTACTCCTGTGGTTAGGCAGTGGCAGGAAGGGCTTCCCAATAAGTACAGGAGGATGTTGGTGAAAGTGGAATTGCAGATTTGATATGTGCGTCTATGTTGTTGCACACTCACTCACTGTCTTTTTTTTGTTTTTGTTTTTTTTTTTCCATCGCCTTCTGTCCTTCCCTTCCCATTTCTCTCTCTATCTGCACACACCATCTTTCCACAGGTTCCGCTCCAAGTATCACCCTGACGAGGTGGGTCGTCACAAGCAGGAGTCCCTGGCTGCCTTACGCAACAGGCTCAGCGCTTATTTCTATCTGGTGGACAATGAGTGGTTGACGGAGATCTTACTGGATGTGGACAAGGCCCCAGCTATCATCAAAGTTCTGGATGCGGGTAATGTAGATTCTCCTGACGTGTCCAAATCATGTACATAACGGACAAAAAGCACAGGGAGGCGTGTGATGTGCCTTTTTAACCTCTTGCCGTCCGCCCGTAGTAAAAAAACGGACGGACGGCATTGCAGCATCTGCGGGTTTTTTTTCTGCTCGCGCGTGCCCCCTAGCGCACGCACGGGCAGAAAAGACCCGTCCAATGCGAAAACCCGGTACCGGGTGTTTCACATATAATTTGTCGCCTCTTTCGGTCGCAGCTGTAATACGAATGGAGGGAGGAACTGAAATGGACTTGAAGATTTTGGATGAAGAGGAAGAGCAGGCCAAAAGAGAGGCAGCCAAGAAAGAAGCTGCCAAGAAGGAGGAGGGCCGAACCTCCGAAGGGCCCAGCAAGCCGGCTGAGGAGAAAGAGGCCCCTGCTAAGGTGGGAGTCATTGGAGCCATTACATTGTATACGGCCATATTGTATGTGAGAAGTACGCTTTAAAGGATAAGTCCAGCTTTTGTAAAAGTAGTAAATGGTGCAATATTGATCTTATGATTAATGTGCATTTAATACTTTTTTTTTTTTTTTTTACAATAAAGGTGGTTAAAGCGTGCAGACTGTGGCAGATGGGACATGTAATATTCCACTGGGAGTGATCCGAGTGAATGGATGACGTTGCTGTGCAGACAGGACCACAGAAACCTGCCCCGAATTCTTAAGGTTACACCTTTCTGCCAGAAGCAGCACCCTGCTATTCAGATAAGGGTGGGAACAGGAGGGTATAGGGGTTTATGCAGGTAACCACCCACATGAAACATGGTCTGAAACCCAGACTTAGCGAAAAGAGCACCGTGACTCAAAGGAGCCAGTGGGAAGATGTATGAGCAGAACCGTACCCAATGAGCCGGCCGGTGGCCATGCTCGGCATACAAAAGGAACAGCAGGGATTCCTCTATCAACGCGCTCGTAGCAATGATGGAGGAATCTGCTCTATTTTTTTTTTTTCCTCACAACCCTCAGGTTGAGCAAAATAGAGCAATGTATGGCCAACTTGAGGCATGCAAATTGCATCCTGCATTCCCATCTATAGGGATAGGGTGGCTACGTTGCCTTTGCAGGCCCCAGTGTAAGCCGCCTTGTCTGCCCACTTCTGGCTAAGTCTGCATGTTGTCGTGCTGACGCTCCATGCACACAGGCAGCAAGCAAGACCCGCATCCCAATCGGCTCTCCTTACTTCTCTAAGAGCTTTGCCAGTTGGGCAAGCAGGCGCTTAATCTAAGAAGCGCAAGGGGTCATGACGCATGTAGTCCCTGAACGTGGAGCAGTGACCTCTCATTGCTGTAATTAGTGTGTTCCCCAACCGGAAGTTCCGAGCTGGAAAGGATGGAGTGAGGAGTTCCGAGCTGGAAAGGATGGAGTGAGGAGTTCCGAGCTGGAAAGGATGGAGTGAGGAGTTCCGAGCTGGAAAGGATGGAGTGAGGAGTTCCGAGCTGGAAAGGATGGAGTGAGGAGTTCCGAGCTGGAAAGGATGGAGTGAGGAGTTCCGAGCTGGAAAGGATGGAGTGAGGAGTTCCGAGCTGGAAAGGATGGAGTGAGGAGTTCCGAGCTGGAAAGGATGGAGTGAGGAGTTCCGAGCTGGAAAGGATGGAGTGAGGAGTTCCGAGCTGGAAAGGATGGAGTGAGGAGTTCCGAGCTGGAAAGGATGGAGTGAGGAGTTCCTAGCTGGAAAGGATGGAGTGAGGAGTTCCGAGCTGGAAAGGATGGAGTGAGGAGTTCCGAGCTGGAAAGGATGGAGTGAGGAGTTCCGAGCTGGAAAGGATGGAGTGAGGAGTTCCGAGCTGGAAAGGATGGAGTGAGGAGTTCCGAGCTGGAAAGGATGGAGTGAGGAGTTCCGAGCTGGAAAGGATGGAGTGAGGAGTTCCGAGCTGGAAAGGATGGAGTGAGGAGTTCCGAGCTGGAAAGGATGGAGTGAGGAGTTCCGAGCTGGAAAGGATGGAGTGAGGAGTTCCGAGCTGGAAAGGATGGAGTGAGGAGTTCCGAGCTGGAAAGGATGGAGTGAGGAGTTCCGAGCTGGAAAGGATGGAGTGAGGAGTTCCGAGCTGGAAAGGATGGAGTGAGGAGTTCCGAGCTGGAAAGGATGGAGTGAGGAGTTCCGAGCTGGAAAGGATGGAGTGAGGAGTTCCGAGCTGGAAAGGATGGAGTGAGGAGTTCCGAGCTGGAAAGGATGGAGTGAGGAGTTCCGAGCTGGAAAGGATGGAGTGAGGAGTTCCGAGCTGGAAAGGATGGAGTGAGGAGTTCCGAGCTGGAAAGGATGGAGTGAGGAGTTCCGAGCTGGAAAGGATGGAGTGAGGAGTTCCGAGCTGGAAAGGATGGAGTGAGGAGTTCCGAGCTGGAAAGGATGGAGTGAGGAGTTCCGAGCTGGAAAGGATGGAGTGAGGAGTTCCGAGCTGGAAAGGATGGAGTGAGGAGTTCCGAGCTGGAAAGGATGGAGTGAGGAGTTCCGAGCTGGAAAGGATGGAGTGAGGAGTTCCGAGCTGGAAAGGATGGAGTGAGGAGTTCCGAGCTGGAAAGGATGGAGTGAGGAGTTCCGAGCTGGAAAGGATGGAGTGAGGAGTTCCGAGCTGGAAAGGATGGAGTGAGGAGTTCCGAGCTGGAAAGGATGGAGTGAGGAGTTCCGAGCTGGAAAGGATGGAGTGAGGAGTTCCGAGCTGGAAAGGATGGAGTGAGGAGTTCCGAGCTGGAAAGGATGGAGTGAGGAGTTCCGAGCTGGAAAGGATGGAGTGAGGAGTTCCGAGCTGGAAAGGATGGAGTGAGGAGTTCCGAGCTGGAAAGGATGGAGTGAGGAGTTCCGAGCTGGAAAGGATGGAGTGAGGAGTTCCGAGCTGGAAAGGATGGAGTGAGGAGTTCCGAGCTGGAAAGGATGGAGTGAGGAGTTCCGAGCTGGAAAGGATGGAGTGAGGAGTTCCGAGCTGGAAAGGATGGAGTGAGGAGTTCCGAGCTGGAAAGGATGGAGTGAGGAGTTCCGAGCTGGAAAGGATGGAGTGAGGAGTTCCGAGCTGGAAAGGATGGAGTGAGGAGTTCCGAGCTGGAAAGGATGGAGTGAGGAGTTCCGAGCTGGAAAGGATGGAGTGAGGAGTTCCGAGCTGGAAAGGATGGAGTGAGGAGTTCCGAGCTGGAAAGGATGGAGTGAGGAGTTCCGAGCTGGAAAGGATGGAGTGAGGAGTTCCGAGCTGGAAAGGATGGAGTGAGGAGTTCCGAGCTGGAAAGGATGGAGTGAGGAGTTCCGAGCTGGAAAGGATGGAGTGAGGAGTTCCGAGCTGGAAAGGATGGAGTGAGGAGTTCCGAGCTGGAAAGGATGGAGTGAGGAGTTCCGAGCTGGAAAGGATGGAGTGAGGAGTTCCGAGCTGGAAAGGATGGAGTGAGGAGTTCCGAGCTGGAAAGGATGGAGTGAGGAGTTCCGAGCTGGAAAGGATGGAGTGAGGAGTTCCGAGCTGGAAAGGATGGAGTGAGGAGTTCCGAGCTGGAAAGGATGGAGTGAGGAGTTCCGAGCTGGAAAGGATGGAGTGAGGAGTTCCGAGCTGGAAAGGATGGAGTGAGGAGTTCCGAGCTGGAAAGGATGGAGTGAGGAGTTCCGAGCTGGAAAGGATGGAGTGAGGAGTTCCGAGCTGGAAAGGATGGAGTGAGGAGTTCCGAGCTGGAAAGGATGGAGTGAGGAGTTCCGAGCTGGAAAGGATGGAGTGAGGAGTTCCGAGCTGGAAAGGATGGAGTGAGGAGTTCCGAGCTGGAAAGGATGGAGTGAGGAGTTCCGAGCTGGAAAGGATGGAGTGAGGAGTTCCGAGCTGGAAAGGATGGAGTGAGGAGTTCCGAGCTGGAAAGGATGGAGTGAGGAGTTCCGAGCTGGAAAGGATGGAGTGAGGAGTTCCGAGCTGGAAAGGATGGAGTGAGGAGTTCCGAGGTCAATATGGGAGCACAGACTTGGGCTGGAGGAAGTGTGGCTGGGCTAGTGGGGTGGAAGAGGAATTGCTGGCGTGCAGACTGTGGCAGATGGGACATGTAATATTCCACTGGGAGTGATCCGAGTGAATGGATGACGTTGCTGTGCAGACAGGACCACAGAAACCTGCCCCGAATTCTTAAGGTTACACCTTTCTGCCAGAAGCAGCACCCTGCTATTCAGATAAGGGTGGGAACAGGAGGGTATAGGGGTTTATGCAGGTAACCACCCACATGAAACATGGTCTGAAACCCAGACTTAGCGAAAAGAGCACCGTGACTCAAAGGAGCCAGTGGGAAGATGTATGAGCAGAACCGTACCCAATGAGCCGGCCGGTGGCCATGCTCGGCATACAAAAGGAACAGCAGGGATTCCTCTATCAACGCGCTCGTAGCAATGATGGAGGAATCTGCTCTATTTTTTTTTTTTCCTCACAACCCTCAGGTTGAGCAAAATAGAGCAATGTATGGCCAACTTGAGGCATGCAAATTGCATCCTGCATTCCCATCTATAGGGATAGGGTGGCTACGTTGCCTTTGCAGGCCCCAGTGTAAGCCGCCTTGTCTGCCCACTTCTGGCTAAGTCTGCATGTTGTCGTGCTGACGCTCCATGCACACAGGCAGCAAGCAAGACCCGCATCCCAATCGGCTCTCCTTACTTCTCTAAGAGCTTTGCCAGTTGGGCAAGCAGGCGCTTAATCTAAGAAGCGCAAGGGGTCATGACGCATGTAGTCCCTGAACGTGGAGCAGTGACCTCTCATTGCTGTAATTAGTGTGTTCCCCAACCGGAAGTTCCGAGCTGGAAAGGATGGAGTGAGGAGTTCCGAGCTGGAAAGGATGGAGTGAGGAGTTCCGAGCTGGAAAGGATGGAGTGAGGAGTTTATCGAAGGTTTAAGAAGTGTTTTGGGAGCAATTGAGAAAAAAATACTTTCTAGGTTCTCTTTTATTGGGGGGGGGGTCTTAAAGGTAAAAGAACATATTGCGGTGAGGATTTAATACTACTACGAGCAGCTCATCCAACAACCATTTACTGTTTTATTTGTGTGGAGCAGTTTAATGAGAAGCTGTTGTATGTTGTCTCCTAGACTGAGACCGAGAAGGAAGGGGAGGTGGAGGAAAAACCCGCCAAACCTGAGGAGGCGGAAGAAGAGAAGAAGGTGGAGAAGAAGGTGGAGAAGAAGGTGGAGGAGGAGCCGGAGCGAGAGACCAGAAAGGTACAATGGGGCTTTTCATCACCTCCCCCAACTCCAGACAGGAAACGGGGATGTTCAGAGTTTACCAATATCAGGGAAAGAAGGAACGGGGACGTTCAGCATATACCAATGCCAGGGAAAGAACAGGGACGTTCAGGGTATAACAATACTATAGGTGAGGGAAGGAAGGAGGGTGTTCAGGGTATAACAATACTATAGGTGAGGGAAGGAAGGAGGGTGTTCAGGGTATAACAATGACAGGGGTGATGGGAACAGGGATGTCCAGGTTGGTGGGTGGGGGAGGGTCTCTTCATGGGATATAGGGGGCAGAGATGGTATTGACCAAACGGAACACATCCTACCTTAGGCACTCTAAAAGGATTCTGATTTTTGTTCTCTTTTCTAATTCTCTGGTATACAGTGTAACCATATAGGTTATAGTGAGAAGGCACTAAAGCAATCAAAAAGCCCTCCAGCTGAATTGGTGGGTAGCACAGTAAAGTCGTCGTAGGACTGAGGGTTATTCACATGTCTCGTTCTATCATATTCCCAATATAGAGGATTATTCCCCATTCCAGGTCAGTGGGTGGAGCCACTATAAACCAGCACTTGTGGATGTGCATCTGGCTGGGTGTAAAAGCCTCAGTGGGTCTGCGCACTGTCTTGAAATGAGGTAAAATCCTCTTATTTTTGGGAGATGTGAGGAAATGAGATGTGATTATCTTCTGTTCTGTGCCGCATTCTTCTTTGTGAATTGCTTTGTGGTGGTCCATCTTCCTGTCAGAACTCATGTGTGATTTTTGTTTTGCAGTCAACTAAGAGAAAAAGGAAGCGTAGCGGAGACAGCGATGACGGCAGCGATTCTGAGTCTGGATCCGGTTCTGAACCAGGCAGCCCCAAACCAGAGAGGGAGAGTCAGGGGCAGAATGGCAGAGGTGAGTCCAACACGAAGCTTGGGTTCTTGTAGTAGATACATAGTGTTAACCCCTTCGTGACTGACGACGTACAGTGTACGTCGCCAGCATTGGGGCTGTTTAAAGCCGCCGGGACTCTGTTTAAACTTGTAAAGCCGACAGTCGGCTTTACAACAGAAGCGATTATGGCGACTTACCTGTCGCCAGATCGCTTCTGCGTCCCGAAGAAGGGGCCGCCCCCCCCGCCGGACACCCCCGCCGTGCTTCCCGGGTTCCGTTGCCCCTCCTACGGGCCCGGGACCGGCGATCTTGGTGTCCGCGGGGAGCTGGGGAGGAGGTCGACGAACTTCCGTTCATCGATCCCCTCCCCGTTCTATGGGACCGGGAGCGATGCAGATTGCATCACTTCCGGTCCCTGGGCTGTCAGTACTGGGCTCCTGCAGCCCAGCTCTAAGCTATTGAAGTGCGATCTGCACATCAATAGCTTATTTCCAGTGTAAAGGTGACACTGGGGGTCTTTTGGACCCCCAGCATCACCTTAAAGAGTACCTGTCACCACCATCTGCTATCACATTGGGTATCGTTTTACTCGTTGTAACCTCATCTTTTATATTTCATTAAAAAAATTGGTATTTTGTTGTGTTTTGGGGCATTTAATTAAATTTGTCACAAAATTTTGGGGTTTAATAAGGAGTTGTGCTAATATTGCGCTACATAAAAATTTGCAACTACCACCATTTTATTCTATAGGGTCTTGGCATTCAGAACATATATAATGTTTGGGGGTTTTAAGTAATTTTCAGGCCTAAAATGTGGAATATAACATGGGTGCAAAAAATGGAAAAAAGGCCTCAGTCATGAAGGGGTTAAAGCCTGACTCCGGGCAGAACTTTCCTGTAGTGGGTAAGCTTAGGGCTACATTGGGAGTGAAGTCTCTTTTGCCACTGAGAGATTTGGCTGTGATCTAATTTGCAGCAGACTGAAACCAATGCGATTCTAATGAGAACGGTCAGTGCGTGTGCGTCCCCTTGCCAAATGAGAGCGCCCTTGCCGACCATGGAGGCACCTGGTGGTTTAGATCCGGGGGCGGGGCTCAACCCCAAAGTCAGAAAAGTCAAGTCTTTGGTCACAAAATAAATCCATGATGAAAGCAAAGGCTCTAATGGCACCTGATTGGACGGGAAGGTAGTTGGGACATTGCTCTGGGTGCAGGGCTTCACCCCCAAAGTCAGTCAAGTCTTTGGTAACAAAGTAAAACCATGAACAAAGCAAAGGCTCTAATGGTAGCTGGGACATAGCTCCAGGGGCGGGGCTCGACTCCAAAGTCAAGTCCTTATTGATAAAGGGGAAACTGGGGTCACATACAGGCTCTCCTCCTGGTGGGGGTGCACCTAGGTAGGAATTTTAGCAGATGACAGGTTCACTTTAAAGAAGTCCTATTGGGCATTACCATAGGCATGAAATTCCTAACTGCTGTAACACAAAGATCCCGATCCAGTCCAACCCTATGGCACCCCCCACCCCATTACTTTACCGCACAGGAAGAATCTCCCGCTGGCTGTGACGCCCGAAAACGAAACTAAAAGTCAGATGCCGGCTTTTAGTTTCATTTTCAGGCCGCGTACAGCAGAGGACGCCGCGGGATCGCAGGGACAAGGCAAGTGTCACTTTTCTCTGCAGCCCCGAGTCTGGCTCGGGGTTACCGCTCCTGGTATGGAAAATTCACCCCGAGCCAGACTCGGGAATACCGCCGGGGAGGTTAAGGGTCCTTTGTCGAAACCCATTTTTCATAGAATTCTGCTGCACTTGCAGACCTCCTTCAGCAGAGGGTCACCATCAGGTTCCAATCTGCCCTTTTGATTCATAGCAAACACATGTGAACATCATCAGCAGTACAGGTCTGTCTTGAGGGTGCTTTTGATATGGATTCTTTTTGCAGGAACTGTAATGCCCATTCACTGGGACAGATGCAGCCCCCCATAAAATACTGCAGGGAGCTATGTGTGAAGTGGGATTTTGAATTGCTGTGCCCCTGCAATAAACCTCCTGCTGCGGGCCTCTTTACATCTACGGAGTTCAGTATCTTTCTATACACAGCTGAGCCTTTTGTATTTGCAGAGGGATCCCCGAAGAAGGAAGAAGAGGAGAAGCCAAAAGAAAAACCAAAGGAGGATGTCGTGAAGCCCCGCCCCTTACACAAGACTTGCTCGCTCTTCATGAGGAACGTGGCCCCCAATATCTCCAAGGCCGAAATCACTGCGGTGAGAACCCCATCTGGCCCCCACCAGTTCTGTTTTGAGCAATGATATTCTCTAATCCCTTCCCCAGGGGACAGAGTGCATGCAGCATCGTGTCGCTTCTTCCAGGTTATGCTAAAGCTAGGCTGGCACAGGCCAGCTCCAGATACTATGTTACATTTTTTTCATTGAGGGGCACAGGAATTTGGATATAGTCGGGTTGTACCGCTGCCTACAGGTGGATTGGACAATGGCAAACAGAAAAAAAAACATGCCAGCTTTCAGTATAATCGCTACTCAGCATGCCTCAGTCTTTTAGCCAGTGTCCTGGGAGTATGGACGTCTTTTCTTCAGCTCTGCTGAATATAGTCTATTTTTTTTTGCTAGACTTTTGTTGGTCTGGAGCACCAGGTTGATCCTCTGTGCTCTCCCCTTGGGTCTCGTTGGCAGGTTCCCCTTTCTGGTAGGAGGCCCCCACCTCATACATTAAGATTTAGTCATTGGTCCTTCAGGTGGTCTCCACTCCTAATGAGGACTGTAGTGTTTTTTTGCTGGGTTGCCCATCCCTCAGTTGGGCTGCTTTTGGCCGTCTCTACACGGTCTGAATTCCTGTGTTCTTCAATGGACAAAACCAGAAATGGCATTATTGTACCTACTGTGAAATCTTTCTTGGGAGTCCATTGAGGGACACAGGCTCCAAACCCCCCAGTGTTTTTTTTTCTGTACATGTCCTTAGTACTGCTTTTCCACAAAACTGAGGCATGCTGGGTATGTGGAGGGGTTATAATGGGGGCTGGCTTTTGATTTTTCTGTTTGCCAGTGTCCCATCCTCCTGTAGGCGACAGCATAACCCAACTGTATCCGAATTCCTGTGTTCTTCAATGAACTGCAAGAAATGGATTTTAGGTTAAAGGGGTTCTAAACCCTCCGGTTTTTTTGCCTCTATCTACTGCTAGCAATAGCAGAGACGCAAGGTAAGTCTATGGACGCGTGCACCCGCCTGCAGACACCGCTGGATGGGAGAGACGTCGCACCGCTGGAGGGACACATGAAAACATTGGGAAAGAGGAGGAAGATCGGAAAAAGAGACATCATTTGAGGTTAGTGCCAACATTTACATGGGGGGGAGGGGAAAAACATTTGGCTTTAATGTCACTTTAAGGACATCACATTTACATTATTGATCCTTTTAATAGTATCCACTGCGGCCACATCTTGTTTCCTGTTAGGGTTTCGTCATGCCTCCATTCTCTTTCTGTTGCATTTCCGGCTATATCTCAAACATTGTCTCCCTAACCGTCCCCTCCGCTCTTCCCAAGACCACCTACTTTCCAGCTCCCTCGTCAACTCCTCCCATGCTCGCCTCCAGGACTTCACTAGAATCTCTCCCTTCCTCTGGAACTCTTTACCCCAACCTGTCCGTCTATCTCCCACTCTGACTGCCTTTAGGCGATCCCTTAGGACTCATCTCTTCAGGGAAGCCGATCCCACCGCACCCTGACCACTCAACCATTCATGCCCACACAGCTACCTCCTCATGTATCACTAGCCCCTCCACTTTTAGATTGTAAGCCCTCAGGGGCAGGGCCCTCCTCACCATCGTGTCTTGAACTGTATTGTGATTGTAATGTCCTTCTTATATTGTAAAGCGCTGCGCAAACTGTTGGCGCTCTATAAATCCTGTATAATAATAATTTCTTATCTTTTTGCTGTTCTCTCTCTCTCCAGCTGTGCAAGCGGTACCCAGGATTCCTGCGAGTGGCCCTCTCTGACCCACAACCGGAGAGAAGGTGAGCAGAGGGAAGGGGGAATTAACACTTTGGCTGCCACACAAGCATCTGGGGCCTCATGTACACAGCCTTCGCCTCCTGAGCTGCTTTTCTTCCTCATACAAGGCAACGTGAATGCCCACTCCGCTCAGAAGCGATATTGTATTTGCACAAGGCCTTACTCTGGTGGGTTTTTTTTTTTGCAGGTTTCTCCGCAAGGGTTATGTGACGTTCGATCGAGGGGTCAACATTAAAGAGATCTGCTGGAATCTGCAGAATATTCGGGTACGTGTTTTACCTTTTATGTTTCTTAGCTGCTCAGATTTATTTTAAGTTACGTAATACTGGTATTCCTCACTTAACGACCGAGTTCCGTTCCTACGACCAGGTCGTTAAACGGATTGGTCGTTAAGTGAGGAACTCTATACAGTACTGTACTGCATTAGTACAGTACTGTATAGCGTTGCCGATGTACAGTAACGAACAGTGTACTGTACATCGGGCAATGACAATACTTACCAGGACCCGCAATGAAGATCGGAGGACACCACTTCCGCCGGCGACACGGCGCGCTGACGCACAAGGTCGGAGGGCGATCGGCGCTCCGTCGTAAGTGCGAGTGGTCGCAAAACAGGTAAGTCGGTAAGTGAGGAACATCTGTACAGTATTAGCCAGAAGAGGGGTCTGGTGGGCGGCCCCAGTGCAGTGACCTTCTGTCAGAGTGCTAGATACCCGTGCAGCGTCAGTCTGCATCCTCCCCCCCTCCTGTTGTCATATCTTTGAATGCCTTGTATGTCGCTCCCCCTCCAATCTCACATTTATATTTTTCAGCTGCGCGACTGTGAACTCAGCCCTGTGGTGAACCGAGAGCTTTCCTGGCGAATTCGTCACGTGAGTGGGATCACGCAGCACCGACCGATTCTGCGCAACGACATCAAGCTGGCAGCCAAACTCATCCACGCCCTGGATGAAAGGGGACAGCTCTGGAAGGAGACGCAAGATGGCCAGGTGAGCCCATGTCTTACCAGCAAGTAATACGATTGGACGGATCGCCTCGGCCTTTTAAACAGATGATGACTTTCTTCTGGTTTCTGTTTTGCAGGAAGTGGCAGCGCAGAACCCCATCCTGAAAAATATCACCGATTACCTAATAGATGAGGTTAGCGCCGAAGAGGAGGACTTGCTGTGGGGAGCAGGGAGAACATCTGGAGCCGAGCCACCAAAGGAAGGCAACCCGACGGAGATCACGGTGGAGAGAGATGACAAGCTCATCAAGGTGCTGACAGACTACGACCATGTCACTGCATTGTTAACGCTTAGGTGTAAATGTACCATACTAACGGGAAAAGCTGGCTGTGTACCCGATGCCTGTGATATAGTTTGTTGAAGCTTGCATCACATCACTGGTGTCCCGTCCAAGGTCCAGCCTCAAATGCAGGGGTAGCCACACTCCAGCCCTCCCGCTGTGGTGGAACTACAAATCCCATGAGATGGCATTGCATGATTCTCACAGCCACAGACATGACTCCCGGAGAGAGATGCACCATGGGATTTGTAGTTTCACCGCAGCTGGAGGGCTGCAGTTTGGCTACCCCTGCTCTAATGCGTTTCGCCCAATCGCGGTCTTGGCTTTATTCACCCAAAAAAATGGACTGAAAATCTCGGCTTATACTCGAGTATATACGGTATATAGATATCTATATCGTCCCGTTCCCATACCCCCCCTCCCTTCCCACCAAGAGTTTGGCAGGGTCCGTGGAATTTGCCGATCAGTTGCTTGATTACACTAGTAGAAAGTAAACAAGCAACTGATAAGAAGCTCAAGTCTGCAGCGGTGGTCAGCAGGGATGCATGTTTTAAGTGACGCAGGGGATGTGCTCTTTCGTTTACACAGCTGCACAGTGACTGACACCAGCCCTAGAGATCATGTCCAAACATGACGAAGAGCACCAATGATAGCAGAGAAAGTCAGTGGCTGTGCGAGGTGGGCCAACAGTAATAGGCTTCAGCAGGAGAGGGGATTGAAGTTAAGACGGGACGGTAAAGTGGGGTTGTGATGGCTGCTGCAGCTTCATAGGGTTGTATTATGGAGATGGCAGCTTGCAGGGAATTGAGAGTAATCAGTTTCAGCAATGGAGAGGGCTTGGTGTAAGTGTAAAGGAAATAAAGGCAAGGCTGGAGTTCAGCTTTTATCTGTATGTTTTGTCCGCACAGGTCCTGGACAAGCTGCTCCTGTACCTTCGTATTGTACATTCCGTAGACTATTACATCACCTGCGACTATCCGAGCGAAGACGAAATGCCGACTCGTTGTGGGATCATGCACGTCCGAGGGCCCATCCCACCCAATCGTGTTTCCCACAGAGAAGGTAAGCACGCTACAGAGGTTTTATGATGCTCCCCATCCGTGCTCACTTGCCA